TAAATGTTCTGTCCCAATTAGTGCAATTATAAGCAGATGTAAAGATATACAATTCAATCTAGAGCTACCAAAGAATATGAAGGAAATTATGTTGAGACGTTGCACTTAAAGTTGTTGATTCTGTTATATAGGTTACAACCTGGCTTAGGATGTTTGGCGTTAACAGAAGCAGAAGCAGAATAAAGCGTTTTGCAGGAGATTTTATATGTTAAATTCAACTGATTGTGAAGGATACTGCATAAATATATATGCACACACACATACCGACACGCACACATGCACAGGGCATTTTTTTAAAAAACCTCTGCAAATTTCATAGGCAGATTTCTTAAAGAAATTAAATTATATAGGAAATACATTCATGGATAATAACATCAGAAATAATTCTTGACTCTTCAAATTGACCTGTAAATCCACTGAACAATGTCAAACACCATTGTATCCATTTGTGGTATAGCAAACTCAGGCTTGCAAACTAGTGGAAAAGAAGAAGAAATAATGTTTCACTACTATTCCACTCGAAATCATATTTTAGTAATCTGGAGCCCATTCCAAATTATTTCTTTTATCATATGCATCTGCCGGAACGTTTGGCTCACAACCCAGAAAATTTCAACACATTTAAAATGTGTACTCGAGACAAACTAGAGCCATTGCAACTTTCCTAAGTGTCACACTGAATGTGCACATCTCGGAGCTAGCAAAACACTCATTCAGCCTACAGCATAGTCATTCAGATTACATGCAGCAATCACAAGATAGGGATCTATTCCTCTCTAAGCCTGGCACCCGATTTACAGAATTGCCAATCAATGTTCTCCAAATTCCCTTTCCAGGTGAATGACTGGGAATAGTTACCTTTCCTTCTACAATGAAGTCCAGAATTAATCCACCAAGCTCTGCTTGCTTCTGACACCCTAGCCTATATAGAGAGCCTTTTCTATCTTCAACATCCTTTGAAATGTTGTGCTCCTTGATGACTTTATTAAATATCATTTCCATAAAGAAAATGAAGGGCAGAACAAATAATAATAATAATAATAATTCTGTCAATGGAATGTTGCTGCTTTGTTGGTCTGAGGTGATAGTTTCCCCTTCTGTGGTGAAGGCAACAACCCCGAAGGTGTTTTGTTACATATTTAACATTTATTAAGGGTGTTCTCCCTAAGGGTGGAGCTAAAGTATGTAGGAAGTTCAGGTACACATGATTTCCTCTTGCGCTCAGCTCATGAGGGAGGGAGACAGAGGAAGTGCTGCCCCTGCAATGTTGGCACCACAAGACTCATTGAGATGGGTCTTGGGGCAGGTGGCAGCGGTGAGGTCAGAGGAAAACACAGGGTGGAACTCACCATTTTCACACCCTGTGCCAAGGAGCACAGTTCTGCCACCAGGAGACCATCGCTGCCTCTGCCTCCTTACTGCTTGAGAAGCAGTTGTGTGGCATGCTTTTCATGGACTTCTTTAACTTTTCAAATTGCTTGACTCCCATACCTGTTTTAAGCGGGATGGCCCAGTTTCTTTGAAGGTGCCCTGGGCTCTGCCTTTGTCCGGGGAGCCCCAGTTTTGTGTGGCGGTTGGGTGAAAGAAAGCGGAAATTGAGCAGGCGAAAGAGAGTGGAGACTGAGAAGCTGGGTGGGAGAAGGTCTGCAGAGATTGGATGGCTGAGTGGGTGAAGGAGAGAGGGAAGCAGGGGGGCAGAACGGTACAGGGTATGTGTGTCCCGCTTTGCTCTCCTGAAATGTTGGAGGGTATGGATCCCATGCTCCTACTTCAAGATTTGAAAATTAACAACTAGATGGGTAGCTGCACTCATTCTTGCTCAGTCCAGCTGTCCTAACTAGACATGGATTTGTACTACTAGGTAGAAATGTAGGTCTAGGAATCATAGCTCAGTTCTTCATTTTCCATGTACAGTGGTACCTCAGGTTAAGTACTTAATTTGTTCCGGAGGTCCGTTCTTAACCTGAAACTGTTCTTAACCTGAAACACCACTTTAGCTAATGGGGCCTCCTGCTGCCGCCGCGCCGCCAGAGCACAATTTCTGTTCTCATCCTGAAGCAAAGTTCTTAACCAGAGGTACTATTTATGGGTTAGCGGAGTCTGTAACCTGAAGCGTATGTAACCCGAGATACCACTGTACATAAAGTGTCAGGCACATAAGGTATCAGACCACTAGTAACTCCCCTTAGCTTGACACTGGGATTTTACAAGGGCAATGAGAATTCTGGCTAGTGGGACCTGTAGCAAAATGTTTTTGTGCAGATTTCTCCTGTTCAGGACTTCAAGCAGTAAGCCAGCCATGACCTCTTACAAACTACTCCATTCCATTTCCCCTCCCCCATTTTGTTTTTCCCTCAACAGAGCATGCAGTCCCCATTGGGCTGTTTTAGTTCTCCCCACATGAGATTTATTGTACTTTGATGAACCTGGGGGTTCCCAGTCAGAGTTCCCCTAACCTTGCTGATACCACCCTCTTGAGTGTTGATGCTTTTGGATATAGAAGGTTTGACACTCAATGAATAAATAATTTGCTATTAGGATTCCTATTATTTTTCATAATTTTTGTTGTTGGGGGTGGAAATGCTTACATTTCCTTAAAAACAAGCAAAATAGTAGTAGTAGTAGTAGTAGTAGTAGTAGTAGTAGTAATCTAATACTGTTTCCTGTGTGTCTTCAATACAGCCGCCCTGAGTCCTGTCAGGGAAAAATGTGGGCTATAAATAAATAAAGAAGAAATAATAATAAAAATAACTATAGCTACCTCTGACCTTGTTTCATATATTAGGTTGTATAATCAATAGAGGTGTTTCTGAAAAACATCCTTCACATTTTGGAGACAGCTAAATAAGCAGCCTCTCCATCCTAAGGTGTAACCTTCACAGGGCAAGGCATGTGAGTCATAACCTCTGTCTGGGCCTAGCCTACTTCATTTAATGCCCACCCAGAATATGGCAGGCAATAGAGATGAGCAGGACTTGACAAACTGTAATAGTATGCTAAATATTAAGCAGAGAGATAGTGTGGTGCAGTGGCTAAAGTTTTGGCCTAGAACTGGGGAAACCTAGATTCAAACCTCTGGGCTTCTTTCGCTACCTCTCAGCCTAACAAGCCTCATAGGATTGTTCTCCGAGGATAAACTTGAGAAGCTTGTACTTTGCCCTGAGCAATTTGTGTGTGTTTTTTGTATATAGTTTTTATCAAGTTTTCTGTTTTACAATTTAAAATACTCATTTTAAACCCTTAAGATTCCAGTGACTTCCCTTCTTCTCTTTCCATGGTTCATTTCGCATATCATAAATCCCTGCATATTTTACAATAACTATACCATTCAGTATTCAGTTGTTGCTTCCATCAAAACTTGTTTACACTGTTGAATTTATCTTAATGCTGCCAGTGTTTTCAGCACAATTATTTCCCATATATTCAATAAACGTTTTCTAGTCTTCTCTGAATGTATGTTCTTCTTGTTCTCTTTTTCTATACGGTCATACCTCATGCTACGTCCACTTCATGTTACGTTCTTTCAGGTTACATCCCGCATCGACCCGGAAGTACCGGAAAGGGTTACTTCCGGGTTTCGCCGCTTGCGCATGTGCAGAAACACAAAATGATGTCACATGCATGCGCAGAAGCGGCAAATCGCAACCCGCGCATGCACAGACGCGCCACTGCGGGTTGCGCTCTTTTCATGTTGCGAACGGGCCTCTGGAACGGATCCCGTTAACAACCAAAGATACCACTGTATGTTAAATCTGCGAGTTGTGCATATTCTGTCAACTTAAGTTGCCATTCTTCTTTGGTTGGGACCTCGCTCGTTTTCCATTTTTGAGCTAACAAAACATGAGCTGCAGTAGTAGCATACATAAAAATAAAAATAAAATGACACCTGCGAATTTCAGTCTGAATTATTCCCAACAGAAAGGACTCTGGGTTTTTTGGGGAAAGTACTTATAAACTTGTGAAGCTGGAGCTTGTACATTGCCCTGAGCTCTTTGGAGAAAAAGCAGGATTAAAATATTCTAACAAGCTCAGCCCAAAATCACGGGACATCCATGCTGTCAGTGACTAGCTAGATGAGGAGGAGTGAAGGAAGCCTGCTGACCAAGAGCCGCCCCCCCCCCCGGGAAAGTGCAGAGGGAGAGGGTTTGGATCCTGGAGCCTGGTGGTGGGAAACCAGCCACATCCCAGAGGAGGGGGAAAGCTGGGAAATACTGGAGACTCGGAGCTTGAAGGATGGTGAAGAGGAGGAAACAGGCAGGGGCCCCAGCACAGGGCAGGGACAGGAGTTAGACTTGGCAGTCCTCCTACAGAGCCACTTTGACATCTTCTCTGCACTGGCAGAGGAAGGGGGTGTGGTGGGTGCGGTCTGCCCTGGGTGTCATCCCTGAGGGGGGTGACATCACTGCACCGCCCCCCTGGGACAATCATCACGGGCACCGCCACCCCTGTGCTCACCGAGCTGCCCCCATGGGATGCTTGCCTGTGGGTGGCTCACCTTGCCCCATGGGTGGCGCCCCTGGGTGCAGCTAGCTCCGCCTCTGCTTCTCTGCTGACAGCCTGCAAGCCCCCTCCCCACTCCCAGAATGAGGCATTTATTGCATGTTGCCGAGCAGAGAGCCAGGCAGACACAGAGAGGGTCCCTTGGAGCTCACTGTAGACAGAGCGAGGAGGGCCTGACACAGAGAGCTAGGCAGTGAAGGGGGAGCTACAAGCCAGTCTGGACAATTGCTTCACTAAGATAGGAGCAACCATTACAGGTCTCTGTGTGTTCTTTGTCCTGCTTTCCTTAATAAAAAAAAAAACTAACTGTAAGTTAACCAAGTGTTTCACTCTTGTTCTCTGATCTGAGAACGACCTGCTCTCCTTGTCGGCTGCCTTACACGCGCCAAAGGCCAGGATTTATTTCAGAGCAAGGTGGGGACAGCCAGTTCTTCAGCAACGCACCCTCAAGTGATTATTACACTTCAGTTTTTGTGTCTCTTTGGTGCCACCATGTTATGTCAGGCAAAGGAAAATAGATTTGCCATGGGAAGTTGGCGAATATTTCCAGACAGGTTGGCAGACATGCTGAACGTTTTCTCTTCCTTCTTCTTATGATGACCAGTGCGGCAGCGTTCATTACACACAAAAAGTGGAAACACCTACGCACAAACATGGGAGGGCTTTGAGATTTGGGGTGGGAGATCGGTGGAGAAATTTATGCAGGTCAGAAATCTCATCAGGCCCAACCAACATGGTAGTTGGTGAGGGATGATGGGAGTTATTGGCCAACAACACTTGGAGAGCCGCGGGCTCCCTGTCCCTGGTTTGAAGAGACAAATGGTAGTGATGTGTGACTTACCAAAACATATTGTCTGTCTCTGTGGGTTTACATTGGCCTCACCCTCCGAAATGATTGTTATTTTTTCCTTGCCCATTGAGGCTTACCAAATCCATGTTGCTCCAGAGCCTGCATGTATAGTGGATCTTTGATGTGACCTGCTTCCATGTCCTTATTGTCAAAAGGTTAGAGGCCGATGGTTTACAAGAAGCAAGCATTTTATTATTTAATTATTATGAATATTTGTGACAAGTATATCCTGCCCTTCCTCCCAAAGGAGTGGGTGAGGTTGCAAAAAGGTAAACCCTAACAAGAACTTTTAGAAAGGGAAGCACACACTGAAAAGAAAGGAACAAAGATATAGGGGTGGCCGACTTGAATAAAATATTGGGGGGGGCAGGTAAGTGCCACCCCACATAAGCAATCATAGAACACTGTGCACACACATCATTTGAATGGCCAGGGCAAAGACCTGGCCAGGCTGGTCATCTTCTTATATACCTGCTGGGATTGACAAGGGATCTGAACCTCACCTGAATCTTATAACTCTCCTGGCAGGTGATTTGATCTGCAGCCACAGTGTGGAAATAAAGGATTGCCCACCAGATACCAGGCACTCTACTATTCAAATTAGGCCCCAGTGTTTTTGTTACAATCCCCTTCTCAATGAAGTAATCAATTTTAATCTAGAATTTAAATTCTCAAAACTTTCTTGTATGTTAATTTGAGCAAGTAAACTACTGCTCTCACTTCATTACAAACAGTATTTCTACCTGCAACACACTTGAGCAAACCTGCTCCTCTTCCTTTCACAGATATTTTGCTGCCATTTGCAATGGTAGCTGCCTCTGATTAGTTATCATTTAACTCTTTGGGGAAGTAATTAGCATCACATGTCATGTGCATGGAAGTTGCCAAACCAATTAACCAACTAGAAGGATTACTGTTAATAGCACCAGTTTTCCTCAGTCTTGATATTGCTGCATAGTTTTATTAGTGCCACTTTGTTTTGTACGATTCCTTGCAAATGAAGGAAAACAACTTTTCTGCTTGTATATGTTGATAATATAATTTTGGTTACTGAGAACTAACAAGATTGTACAAAAACAAGATTGGGCACAGGCCTGGCCTGGACATAGGCGTCCTGACTGTGACAAAGGTGACCTGTGTGCTTGCTTGCTTGATTAACAGCTGTTGGGAACTTCAAGGTCCCTGCTCTCCCTTCTTATGGTCCTTGTACTGGGCCTGGAGACTCCAATAGAGAGCATTCCATGTCAAGAAGAAGGGCAAGTGGGCACCCTATCAAATGACAGGGCAGGAGCTACACAGAGCAGGGCCTTTTCACTGGTGGTGCCCATTGTATGCCTCGCTCTTCCCAGACCTGCTCTCTTTTGGCCTGTATTTTGGAGCTTTATAATTTAGGAAGACTTTGGAAGAACTGGTTGACAAGTCTTATCAGTCGCTGATGTATGAGCAGATTTTATTTTTTTTGCTGCTGCTATTCTGGGCTTCTGGTGCACCAGGGGTTAAAGGTAAAGGTACCCCTGACCATTAGGTCCAGTCGCGGACAACTCTGGGGTTGCAGCAGGGTTTACACTTGTTTTACACCAGCACAATAGAGTTGGCCAGGATGCCAGAAGGGATACAATTTATGAGCTTTCTCCATTATCTGCACAGCAGGGGTTGTTCAGTCAACAGTGCAGAGGCTGAGTTGAAGCATTCCCGGCTGGTTACCTGCTTTCAGCAATAGGGGTCACTGTTGGGTAGTGCCTGTTGGAAATCAAGCCTTTATCGGGAGAAACTGGCAACTCTCCCAGGCACTCGGCTTGGTCTCCTGTTGACCTCCCTGGCTGCATTCCCCAGCAAGATCCAGGCTAGGTTGCGATAGGCGATTCTTCTCAGCGTGGGAAGAACACACCCCCTCCCTCCTGCTCTCCTGGCAGGGAAAGGAGATAGACAGAAATGTTTTTACATGCCTTTATTTCTGTCTTTGCAGCATTACAAAAAACATGTCTGCTCACTTCAAGCTCCAGCAGTCAAGTGACAAAGACTTCCAGTACTTCCTGTACATACGCAAGAGGAAGACCTCATATAACACTCTGAGCAAATTCCGGTGCATTGCCCTGTGAACTGACTGTCCCACTGTTTCCCACGGACAGTCCCAACATTCCCATCATGTGATGTTTTCAAGCTAGCAATTTGCAGCTGCATTGCATCCATATCATAACAGTACCCACTTGGTTAGCTGTCAGATTCTAGAGCTCCCTATTGGTGGCTCTTAGGTAATTCACAAAATACAGAGTCTATTCATAAAACACAGTATTCATTCATAAAGCAGTAACATAAATCTCCATTGCTACATACTGGGTGTATATTTCAGCGGTTGAATGTACAGGTTTATGGCCGTGCTGTAGTGTAGTGCTTATGCGACTGTGAATAAAAGGTGGCTGGGCTCATTGTCTGGGGGTTTGGGAGGGGGAAGGTGATAAAACTGATTTCCAATAAGTGCCCCCTCCCTTTATTTCCATAACAAGTCCTTGAGTCTGTAATCTGAATAGTGACACCAGGGACCTAGAAGGTGCAGGGCTTGTCAGTCCACCCCTGCACAGTTTCATCAGGGCTGACCTTAAGGCAATTGGAGCAATTTGGCCAAGTTGGGACCCACGGGCCGCTCCTAAGGGGCCCCTTGCACCAGGGCAATCTAGATGAATTTTATTTATATCTATAAGATTTTGCAGACTTTGGCTGTGAACTGGGGCCCTACAAAAAAAAAAAAATTCAAGTTGCACCCCACTGCTTCAAATTGGACCCCACTGGCTAGCCCTGATAGTCTCATAGTTGCTGGGCCTGAGTTGTCCTGCCTTTGTGTGAAGTCTGGGGTTTGCAATTTTGGGAGAGGGGGGATTGCCCGCTAGGGAGCGGGTGGGCTGGCGAGGCCCCCTAGATTTAGAAGCCCTAGGCTTCAGCCTACTTAGCCTATACATAAATCTGGCCCTGGTTGTTATGCTTGAGGACTACTTTTGAAAAGCTGTAGCATGGCCTTTCAGCCTGTCTTATTTGTTTTAATTGCTATGTAAATGTGGTGGGTGTAGACGCTCCTTCAGGGGCTGATGGGTTGATCCAACATTACTGCCCCATTACTGCCATCTAGAAGGGCATATAGAGCAACAAAAGCAGGAAGCCAGGGGGAACCCAGAACATTTGCGGTATGAAAAGTTACAGGAGTACAGGACATACACTGATTGGCAATTGACCAGTATGTCCATTACAGTGGTGCCCCGCAAGACGAATGCCTCGCAAGACGGAAAAACCGCTAGACGAAAGGGTTTTCCGTTTTGAAGTTGCTTCGCAGGACGAATTCCCCTATGGGCTTGCTTCGCAAGACGAAAATATCTTGCGAGTCTAGAGTTATTTTTTTCGCTTTCCCCTTTATCTAATCTGCTAAGCCTTTAATAGCCTTTAATAGCCTTTTAGCAGCTAATCCCCTAAGCCTTTAAGCCTTTAATAGCCGCTAAACCGCTAATAGCGCTAATAGCGCTAATCCGTCAATGGGCTTGCTTCGCAAGACGAAAAAACCGCTAGACGAAGACTCTCGCGGAACGGATTAATTTCGTCTTGCGAGGCACCACTGTATTAAACATTTGCAGAAACAAACAGAATTGAAAACAGGACCATGGGCCGCTGCCCCAAAACCACTCTGAGCACAAGTCAGGGTGAAAGTGCATTCCAAAGGACATATGAAGTGGCCCTTACTCTGTTTCTCTTATCCCTGGCTTGTTAATGGCAAGCTGTGTTTTCTTCCGGTTCAGCAAATCTACCGAAGAACAGGATGCTGTTGGTGAATTTGTGCAGTATAAAGAAAAGAAAAGGATGGTCAGCCACAAACTGCACATCTGCCCAGCTCGCTGGATGCCTATCTCTGGGGCAATGTGGTGCTTCCCTTCCACCATCTTCATCCATCTCTAAGGCAACTCCATGCACAATCTCACTTACAGCCACCATTTCAGTTGATGTAATTCCGGACAAATCAGCTTTTTCCGGATTGGACACATTATGAAGGCCCAGAGCTTCCAAGAATTTGAGGGCTGGGATGCTCATCTCAAGTCTGGTCTTGGGAATGGCCACGTCTACCTCTTCCACCTTCAGGCAGGTTTCAGAGGTCCACTCTAATAACTTTTCATAGGACAGTTCCTCTTCCAGCTACAGGGCAAAGGTTAAGTCAGTGAGATTACAAAAGGATGTTACATTTCATGAATGAGCTAGCAGACACCAAAACGTTACCTGTTGAAGAGAACTGGGGTTGTAATCTTTGGGCAGCAGTATGAACACACTCAGTTCATGATCTTTATAGGGGATCTCAAGCACTTGGAACTGGACCTGAGAGCTTTCAATTGTTCCCGTTTTATAGTGGCCTCTTCTGTGCATCAGCTCCACAGTTTTGGTGTCTCTCTGTAAGAAATGGCAAGCCTCAGTTAATAATATAGCGAGACTTTCCTGGTTAGCCAGAGGCCATAACAGTGTTAAATCAAGCAAGGAAACTGATGTTTACAAAGGCAAATATTTATTATGAGTTATTTCTTGCATACAAGGTTTATTTTAATGTTAATTTTGTCAGCTGTTGACTTGTTCAGATGTGACTCCACTTGAAACGAGGAAAGAGCCAGAGAGGGAATGTGCAACAATTTCAGTGCAAATGTTGTTGTTGTTGTGCCTATGCATCTTAAGCTCAACAAGTTATTGAAAACATATCTTAGTAAAAATATTAAGGGTTTTCGGGTGGGGAATGACTCGTTAAACGTGGAACATGGGAGGAAAATTATTGCTGTGCACTAAACTGAGTGTGCCAGCCTTCAACATATTTAAAGCAAAGTAATTTTAATACTTTGGCCACCTCATGAGAAGAGAAGACTCCCTGGAAAAGACCCTGATGCTGGGAAAGATGGAGGGCACAAGGAGAAGGGGACAACAGAGGACGAGATGGTTGGACAGTGTTCTCGAAGCTACCAGCATGAGTTTGACCAAGCTGTGGGAGGCAGTGGAAGACAGGAGTGCCTGGCGTGCTCTGGTCCATGGGGTCACGAAGAGTCGGACACGACTAAACAACTAAACAACACAACAACAACAACAACAACAAGTTTTACAGTTGCCAAAAGAGATATTCCTTGTTTGGGGGCCTGGAGCCTTGTAGTAAATCATACAATCTAAATAAATAAATAAATAAGATAGTAACATCTTTGTACATGGTGCTTTGCAAGGAGCAGGTTTGGCAACTTGCTACAATCTAGAAATAAGGGCTTACAGTATAAAAATATACATAGAAACTACTGATGGAATGGGGAATAACAAAGGAAGAATATGCAATTATTTTAATGACAAATACTCTAGCTCAGTAACAGTAGGTCAGCTTTCCCCAAGCTGATGCCCTCTAGATGTTTATAGACTCTCCAGGATACCAGGCATGGTTTTCTCCCAGCCCTACCTAGAGATGCCAAGAATTGAACTTGGAACCATAAGCAGTTGCTCTACCTATAGACTGCAGCAGTAAAGTCACCAGTGCGTTTAGTGCCTATTATTTTTTCCAGGCTGATTCCATAGCCTCTGACTTTCCTCAGATAAAAAAATGGAGACATTCTATTCTACATCAGTATATCCGCCCGTCCTGCACCCCCTATATACTCATACTGCCAATGGAATATGGGGAAAGGGAGGGGCTGGCTGAGCTGCCCCAATGGCTGCTACCAAGAGGAGTATGTAACAATAAAAGGTAAAGGGACCCCTGACCATTAGGTCCAGTCATGACCGACTCTGGGGTTGCAGTGCTCATCTCACTTTACTGGCCGAGGGAGCCAGCGTTTGTCCGCAGACAGCTTCCGGGTCATGTGGCCAGCATGACTAAGCCGCTTCTGGTGAGCCAGAGCAGCGCAAGGAAATGCCGTTTACCTTCCCGCCGGAGCAGTACCTATTTATCTACTTGCACTTTGACATGCTTTTGAACTGCTAGGTTGGCAGGAGCAGGACCGAGCAACGGGAGCTCACCCCGTCACGGGGATTCGAACCACCAACCTTCTGATTGGCGAGGCCTAAGCCCTGTGGTTTAACCCACAGAGCCACCTGCGTCCCTATGTAACAATACCATACCGGCAAATGTCTTGGCAATATGCGAGAGCTTTAGATGATAAAACTGCAAGGCTTCCATCAGCCCACCTTGGACGTCGGAGGAGGCACCCGCGATGGATATTTACAAGGCAGCAGCAATGCAGTCTCTATGGTTGGCAGCTATTACCTCCGAAGGGCCTCTGTCTGCCTGTTGGCGCCCCTCTCCTCCCCTCCCCATGGATCCCTCAGTGCCACCATGAAGGGCGGGGCCTCCTCCTCCTCCTCCTCCCTGTGTCCCCGCCCTTTCCTGCTCCCTTTCCCTGCTTACAAAATTCAGGACCGCATGACCTAGTGAGAAACCCAGCACCCTTGGGGCAGTTGGAGGCTATGTATTCAAACGTCAATGCTCCCTTCCTCAGAATCTGCCCCATTATGCCAATTGCCTTTATCAGATAGCAGGAGGATAACACATAGCTGAAATACATGCATTGGAACTACCTCGTTCAAGTAAAAGGAGCTTTCTTTGGTGAGCTCCTTGTCAAACTGGACTTCCCATTGTCCTTTGAAGTAGAGGGCATTCACCAGCAGCAGATCAATCAGGCATGTAATCTCGTCATTGAATTCCGGCAGCAGGTCCTGGATTTTGCCTTAATAAGGAACAGGCGGAAACGGTTTACTTTACCATATTAACTTCTGCCTGCAATCTATCCATTGAGCATACCATAAGCCAGGCATAGGCAAACTCCGGCCCTCCAGATGTTTGGGACTACAGTTCCCATCATCCCTAGCTAACAGGACCAGTGGTCAGGGATGATGGGAATTGTAATCCCAAACATCTGGAGGGCCGGAGTTTGCCTATGCCTGCCATAAGCTTTGTGTCTCAGGGCTCCCCCCTGCACTACAGTAGTAAGGCCTCATCTGCACTGTTTAATGCAGTACCATAGCACTTTAAACAGCCATGGTTCCCCACAGCGGAGGAGGAGTTTGGATTTGATATCCCGCTTTATCACTACCCGAACGAGTCTCAAAGCAGCTAACATTCTCCTTTCCCTTCCTCCCCCACAACAAACACTCTGTGAGGCGAGTGGGGCTGAGAGACTTCAAAGAAGTGTGACTAGCCCAAGTTCACCCAGCAGCTGCATGTGGAGGAGCAGAGATGCGAACCCAGTTCCCCAGATTACGAGCCTACCGCTCTTAACCACTACACCACACTGGCTCTCACAGCGAACCTGTGCTAGTTTGTTAAGAGGCCCTTGTTACACACTAAGATTCTGCTGATTAAAATTGGGACGCACTTCCTTTGATGCCATGCTCCTGTGCAAGATAATAATAATAATAGTTTATTATTCATTATTTATACCCTGCCCATCTGGCTGAGTTTCCCCAGCTACTCTGGGCAGCTCCCAACAGACTATCAAAAACACGATAAAACATCAAACATTAAAAACTTCCCTAAACAGGGCTGCCTTCAGATGTCTTCTAAAAGTCAGGTGGTTGTTTATTTCCTTGACATCTGATGGGAGGGCGTTCCACAGGGCGGGCTTCCTCACTTCTCACAGTGAGGAAACCACCAGAAGGCCCTTGGAGCTGGACCTCAGTGTCTGGGCTGGACGATGGGGGTGGAGACGCTCCTTCGGGTATACTAGAAAAAGGCCGTTCAGGGCTTTAAAGGTCAGCACCAGAACTTTGAATTGTGCTTGGAAATGTACTGGGAGCCAATGTAGGTCTTTCAGGAGCGGTGTTATATTGTCTCACAAGAGCACAGTACTAAAACAGGGCATTCCAGCATCCAGTCAGAAGCTGGGGTGGCTTCTGTGATTCCAGGATGTCCTGGGAAAATTGGGATGGTTGAGGGGGGTATGCTATTACCCTCACTGAGCTACAATTCCCAGAGTGGCTTAGCAGTCAACCCCTCTGCCCAAGAGACTCGGGTATGATACTGCACAGATAGGGCCTCACAAAACAAATAAGTTACTCGGATTTTCTCTTTTCACACTTCCAATGTGGCGCAATGCTAAGAGCAGCCTCCAACCTGGTGGTCTCTAGATGTTGTCGGACTACAACTCCCATCATCCCTGATCACTGGCCATGTTGATTAAGGCTGACGGATGTTTTGGTCCAACAGCATCTGGAGGGAACCACAATTTGTGGGAGAAAGTTTCAATTCCTAGGACACTATGACTGCATGCACACCGCACATTCAAAGCATATTTCCTGCCAAAGTCTCCTGGAAACTTTGATTCCCAACACCCTTAAGAAATTACAGTTTCCAGGGTTCTTTGGCAGGTGTTTTTCTTGTATGGTGTGCACACAACCAATTAAAAAATATAATAAAGCATTCAAGTGACAGACAGATGACTTGCTCATACCATGTGTCTGGACTTCAACCCATAAGTTTATCAGCTTTCTGGCCTCTTCTGGAGCCTTGTGGAAGTCAACACTGTCTACCTCCATCAGATACTGCTTCAATGCGCAGAACAGGAATTGCTGTACAGGAGGGAAGAAGCTTTTGAAGGAATATATCAAAGTCAAAAACAAACAGAAAAGCTGGATTGATATAGCCAGGAGGTCTGCTTATAGATTGAGTTTCAAGATGGAGATTGCAGATTCTTCCCCAATGGGTTAGAGTTAGGGATAAGCGTAAAGACATAAAAACAGCAACAACCAGGAAATTACATCGTAACATATATGGTAAAAAGGCAGGTACACGTAGAACTCAAGTAGACCAAACTCTCACAGACAACGTCAACAGTGCAATCCTATATGCATGTTTACCAACAAGTAGGTCAGTGCTGTGAGTTAAACCACAGAGCCTAGGACTTGCCAATCAGAAGGTCAGCGGTTCGAATCCCCGCAATGGAGTGAGCTCCCGTTGCTCGGTCCCTACTCCTGCCAACCTAGCAGTTCGAAAGCACACCAGTGCAAGTAGATAAATAGGTATACCGCTCTGGCGGGAAGGTAAACGGCGTTTCCGTGCGCTGCTCTGGTTCGCCAGAAGCGGCTTAGTCATGCTGGCCACATGACCCGGAAGCTGTATGCCGGCTCCCTCGACCAATAAAGCGAGATGAGCGCCGCAACCCCAGAGTCGGCCACGACTGGACCTAATGGTCAGGGGTCCCTTTACCTTTACCTAGGTCGGCCTAGACTAGAAAGGGTTCACAGGGTGATTAAGCTGAATAACTGCAGGGAATTGTGACATATATAAGTTAAATTTGTGACATTCCCTTTCCACTGAGATGCATGTGGCACCTTCCTTATATGTTTTTGTCCTATGCTGAAGACACACCTCCTTACCTTCAGATACATATTTTAGGACTCACCTTTCTCTCTCGATTGTAATCTGTTTAAGCCGCTTTGTATTTTTGTATTTGTAACCTGCCATGGAATCTCAAGGTGAACGACAGGTAAGAAATAATAACAAGAATAAGAATAAGAATGTGAGGCTCCAACGTTTCCTTGTCAGCAGAGACCTATCATGATACCATTTGACAATGGCCATTAATCAAGATAGCTCTATTTAATCGGAATAGCTGAATTCTTCCACTAATGGTGCTTTTCATCTGATATGAGAACAGCTTTAGCCACATCTTGCTGTGGAACCTTGTGTGAAATTCATCTTTTTAGCCCCTCCTCTCAATTTAGTTTGCTTAGAACAGGCATCTCCAAACTCGGCCCGCCAGACTACAGCTCCCATCATCCCTAGCCAACAGGACTAGAGGTCAGGGATTATGGGAATTGTAGTCCCAAAACATCTGAAGGGCCAAGTTTGGGGATGCCTGGCTTAGAAAGACATCATTACTTCATGTGAACTGGCCCAGGCTTAGATCTTCAGGAGAGGCCCTTCTCTTGGTTCTGCCACCTTCCAAGCTTGGCGAGGACATAGGAGAAGGCCTTCTCAGTGGCTGCTCCCAGATTCTGTAACTGCCTCCCTGGAGAAGCTAAACTAGCTCCCTCATTGCTATCCTTCTTCAGGCTGGTGATGACCTTTTTCCAACAGGCTTTTGGGAAAGGGCTAGTGTTGTGCTGTTTTCATTGTAATTACAGTGGTACCTCGGGTTACATACGCTTCAAGTTACATACGCTTCAGGTTACACACTCCGCTAACCTAGAAATTGTGCTTCAGGTTAAGAACTTTGCTTCAGGATAAGAACAGAAATCGGGCTCCGGCGGCGCGACAGCAGCCTGTTCTTAACCTGAAGTGGTGCTTCAGGTTAAGAACAGTTTCAGGTTAAGTACGGACCTCCGGAACGAATTAAGTACTTAACCCGAGGTACCACTGTATTTGTATATTTTAAACAGATTCTTATATATGTATATAGTTTTAATTTTATCAATGCTCTATCAAAAAGACAGATAATCCTGAAAGTCTGTCTTGCACCTTAGCATTCCTAAAGAGTGCTTGGTCAACTGAAGTTTGGAAAGTGTCATAAAATTTGGGGAATTGTGAAAAGGTATCTGGGTTGGGTAGGGCCATCAGAGGTTATCGTGCCACCGCCTTGAATGGCTTTAAAAATGATTTGACGAATTCATGGAGGATAAGGCGATCGGATGGTCATGTCTTATCTCCACTGTTGGTGGCAGCATGCCTCTGAATGCCAGTGACTGGGAACCACAAGTGAAGAAAATGCTGTTGCACTCTGGTTCTGCTTATGGCCTTCCCATATGCATACATTTGGCCACTGTGAGAACAAGATGCTGGACTAGAGAGAGCCTGGGAGAGCTCAGTTGGTTAGAGTGTGGTGCTGATAACGCCAAGGTTGCAGGTTCGGTCCCTGTATGGGACAGCTGCATTGCAGGGAGTTGTACTAGATGAGTCTCTTCCAACTCTACAATTCTATGGTTTTAGATGGGCCTTTGGCCTGATCCAGCAAAGCCTTCTCTGTGCACCATATACCACTATGCAAGAAACAACAAGGTATCAAAGACAAACCTACCTGGACAAAAGCAATAGACTTGTCTCCGTAGAGTTGATTGGCAAAGCTCAGCTCATAGTTTCTGCTCGGTTTGTCAAGCTGAGCAAGGATTTTGTGGAACTCCTTATGGCTGCCTTCGGGTATCTCACATTCATAATCAGGAGCTTCCTAATAACACAACAAGAAACGGTGAAACACATCATATAAAAAAAAAAGACCAAAATATTATCCCCTAAGAGTACCTGAACCAGGGAGAAACAGGTTAAAATCCCCACTCCATCACAAAGCTCACTGGGTGGCCTTCGGCCTGTCGCTGTCTCTCCACCTAACCTGCCTCACAGTGTTGTGGTGAGGATAAAATGGAGGAAAGACCATTTTCCTCATGCAAGCCATAATAAATAAATAATGATGCCTAGCTTAGAAGGACAGTTGTGCCAGGTAGCAAGATTTATGGCCCATTCCAATGTCTTCATTTTCTGCTCAATTTCATTTAATTCTACATTAGCAATGTGCTTCCTCAAAGCCTTCAACAATAAAAACCTGCCTGCTTTCTGGATGCACACTCATCTGTTTAACACATCCGTCCCTCAGCCACAAAGCAGTCCTGTCCAGTCGGTGTGATGTTGTTACAGTCAGTGCTATTTTTATAGAAAAAGAGGTGCCAGAGCTCACCGTGAACTTCTCCCTTGTTCTCCTAGAATGGCAATGGCACCCACCTGAGAGGTGCCAGAGTTAAGCCCCTCTGAGCTCTGGATGGGGAAAAAGCTCTGGTTATAGGTCAACTTAAGCAGAAACCCACAAACAACAGAATGGATTCCCCTCTCATTTCTCAAGCGCCTTTTGTGTTTGGAACAGAAGCATACCCTATGAGGGCGAGGTGCAGATTCAAGTTCAGGAGAAGGTGCTGTCATGCCCCAAGGGTGTGGAGCTGGGCCCTGTGTTTTCTGCCTACTGTCCACTGTCCCACAGCTTTTGGCAGTTTCAGGACATCCTCTTCCACGTTCTTCCTCTTTTTCCAAATGAAGTATCTAATGCGGAATTTTGGTTTGCAGTCATAAATAATACTGTGGTAGGTGGTACATTTCATTGTGCAACGGTGCTCAGCAACCCATGCACATTAAGATGGCTTCCCCTGTTACATAGTTAGATGTACAGAGGTACATCGGGTTACATACGCTTCAGGTTACAGACTCCGCTAACCCAGAAATAGTACCTTAGGTTAAGAACTTTGCTTCAGGATAAGAACAGAAATCGTCCTCCGGCGGCGCAACAGCAGCAGGAGGGCCCATTAGCTAAAGTGGTGCTTCAGGTTAAGAACAGTTTCAGGTTAAGAACGGACCTCCGGAACGAATTAAGTACTTAACCCGAGGTACCACTGTATATAAATATAAAATAATTTTTGCTTTCTTTTTCTAAATTTGCAATCCTCGCTTTCTAAATCTGCAATCTACTTTTGTCTTCTCTGCCCAATTGCACAAATCTAAGAACAGACTGAAGAGGAAGCCAAGGACAGGAAACATACCTCTTCCTCTTAGGCATAACTCATGCAGATTTTGGAGTTGTGCTGAAACTGGTTCCCACATTTTCCAATTCAAATGAGAATGAGTTGCACGGGTGCCACATTCTGGAAGCATGATGCACATCCCAAAGTGACCCTGCCTTGCCATAAACATGAAGTGCAGATATGCCTTAGGAAGCAGGATGGGCACTTAAGCTATGCCAACTCTTCCCACCTTGGTGTCCTCCAGATGTTGTTGGACTACAGCTCCCATTATTCCTGATCATTGGTCATGTTGGCTGGGGCTGCTGGGAGTTGGAGTCCAACAAGAGGCTGTGGAAGGCTGGTTCATGCCAAAATGCACTCAAATAATTATTCTATAGGCAAGGAACTCAGGTCCCATCTGTTTAAGGCAGCATTGTCCCATTTGAAACATTCATGGCTACTGGGACCTGTAGTTAAGGGGGCTGAGAGTCATTAGGAGACCCCGTATTTCCCTCACAGAGCTTCAGTTCTCAGAGTGGTTTAGCAATCAACTTCTCTTTGCAGACCAAGTATTGGTGCTATGTTTCTCGGAATGAATTAAGTAGGAATTACTCTTTATCTGCTTCCACAAACAAATATAGTTCAGTTTCCTTTTTCATGGTTGAATTCAATGTTATATTCCGAAAGATGTCACTGGCTAGTTCATGTGAACAAAATGAGCTAACAAATACAATGGTACCTTGGTTTAAGAACAGTTTACAAACTCTGCAAAATTTGAAATAGTGTCTTGGTTTGAGAACTTTACCTCGGTCTAAGAATGGAAGCCGAATGGTGGAAGGGCACCGGTGGTGGGAGGCCTCATTAGGGAAAGTGCGCCTTGGTTTAAGAATGGTTTCGGTTTAAGAACAGACTTCCGGAACGGATTAAGTTCGTAAACCGAGGTACCACTGTACAGTATATCAATTGCCACACAAGAAAGAACTCCAAAAGACAAATCAGTGTGCAGATATATATATATATATAGTTTAAAATTACAATACAAGAACAAGGGAGTCAATACAGTTGATTTTAATGAAAACTTAAGTTAAATCTAATGAACTGGAAAACGTTATTTTACTATGATGCCACATAGAAGTTCACATTTGAAATCTCTCTCTCTCTCTCTCTCTCTCTCTCTCTGGACTGTGTGCAGCCTTTTTTTAATTTTTCAAAATGTTTGTGTTTTGACATGAAAGCTCTTCCTACATATAGGAAAGTAAGAAGCGGCCTTATCAAAACATTGGCCCATCTAGCTCAAATATTGTCTTTAAGACGAAATTTTAGTTTCCTGTTAATTGCGTTACTTTGAATGTGCTCTTTATATTTGACCGTCTTCTGTTATGCCTTATTCTGCTTTGTCTTATTTGATGTCTTAATGTGTTGTCAATCTCTTTGAGATTATTTCTTAGAAATAGAATGCAGTGTAGAAATGAAATGAATTATTGCCAATAATATTGTCTACCCTGGTTGGCAGCAGCTCTCCAGAATTCCAAATGGAAGTCACTCCCAGACCCACCTTGAGGTGTCAGAGATTGAACCTGCAACCTTCTGCATTCAAAGCAGATGTCCTACTACTGATCTATGGCCTTTCCCTAATGGATATGACATTCATGTGTTTAAAGTTTCTCTGGATCAGAGCTAGAAGGGGAAAGAACGGTGCTTTATTTCCAGCACACAATAAAGGCTTCTATCTGTAGCAAATGCCCACCATTTCTCAGCTTTGCAAACATAAATTAAAGCAGTGCCTTTGAATTGAAATTGAAATTAAAGTTTGCCCTTTGAATTTGGCTTCAAAAGACTGGGATGATGTATTATATCATACCTACCTTTTGCAGTTCATCAGCTGTGTGGCCCCTGGCCCCAGAAAGGAGGACTTTCAAGGCGACTGCCAAATTTACAGGAGAGAACAGGATGCTTTCACAGTGTTCATCCTTGCTCAACTTCAGGAAAAAGTCAAGGGCAGCTTTTGCATTTGCTTCTGTGTGACGAGAGGCCATTACAAAATCTAAAAGCAAGGACAGAGCACTGCAATTTTCAGAAATCATTAGGCAACTGATTGGCCACAGTGGGAACTGCATGCTGGACTAGATAGGCTACTAGCCCATGGGTAGGCAAACTAAGGCCTGGGGGCCGGATCCGGCCCAATTGCCAGGCTCCGACCTGGTGGAATGCTCTGTCCCATGAGACTAGGGCCCTACAGGACTTGATCTCCTTCCACAGGGCCTGTAATTCCGCCTGGCCTTCAGTTTGAATTAGCCTGATCCAATATTCCCTTTTCCCTTTCCTCTTCTATGAATAAACCCTTTCTGGGACCCCACATTTAAATTCTTCCCTGGTCTCCTTTCTGACCCTAGTAGGACCAACTTGGCCAGTTATCCCTGGTGATCATTCGATGTCTACTGACTGGGTTTCCTCCCCCCCCCCCAAAAAAATGACCCCTGAATTTTTTAATTCTATTGATATTGATGCTGCATTTTATGTTGTATACTATGCTGTTTTATAAGTTGCATTTTATTCAATGTTTTATATTTGCTGTTAGCCACCCTGAGCCCAGTTTTTAAACCGGGAATGGCGGGGTATAAATAAAAATTTATTATTTATTATTATTAAATCTGGCCCGCAGACAGTCCAGGAAGCGTGTTTTTACATTAGTAGAATGTGTCCTTTTATTTAAAATGCACCTCTGAGTTATTTGTGGGGCATAGGAATTCATTCATTTCCCCCCCAAAAAATATAGTCCAGCGCCCCACAAGGTCTGAGGGACAGTGGACTGGCCCCCTGCTGAAAAAGTTTGCTGACCCCTGCACTAGCCTAATCTTGGAGACTCTTCTCTTGTCTAAGGCGACTCGTGGCTCCTCTTTATAGAACCATGGCCAGTTATAAGCTTTTAAACATCTTCTAATGTAACATATAGCCAAGGTGTGGATTTGAATCTAGGTGCCTCTGGTGTGAGCACAACTCTCTGCAGTGCATTAGCTTTCAAGGGACGATTTCACATGAGACTGTTTAGCATCATAGCATCACCTACAGGCAGCAAGTGGAAGAACTCCCCCTTTCAGCCATACAGGGAAACTTGCTTATATTCTTCTGCTCAATCCCCACTTTTAGCAATGTCAGCAAGTGTGGTGTAGTGGTTAAGAGCGGTAGACTCGTAATCTGGTGAACCGGGTTCGCGTCTCCGCTCCTCCACATGCAGCTGCTGGGTGACCTTGGGCCAGTCATACTTCTTTGAAGGCTCTCAGCCCCACTCACCTCACAGAGTGTTTGTTGTGGGGGAGGAAAGGAAAGGAGAATGTTAGCCGCTTTGAGACTCCCTTGGGTAGTGATAAAGGGGGATGTCAAATCCAAACTCCTCCTCCTCCTCCTCCTCCTCCTCCTCCTCTTCTTCTTCTTCTTCTTCTTCTTCTTCTTCTTCTTCTCCTCCTCCTCCTCACCCCACCCCTGTTTCATGCCACCTCTGTCTGCATACCAAAGCCCTGGGCACCTCCACCTTTGGAAGATAAGTGATTAGAGAGAAGGTCTTTGGAGCCCTGGTTGTTAATTCCCTTCTTAGACATACTGGGTTGCATCCAAACGGAGATTGCAATCCCAACCCCACTTACCTGGGAGTAAATCCCATTAAATTCAGTAGGACTGACTTTTGAGTATACATGGTTAGGGCTGCATTCTATGTCATAACTAACTTGTTCCATTGATTTCAGTGGGTTCTAAAGTGTGATCAACTTAGGCTAGATCCAACATGTTATTTGCCTGGTACCATCATTGTTATTGATTAGATGCTAGATTAATTTAGGCGCTAGATATCATAGCCATCTCCAAATATCTCAAGAGCTGTCATGTGGAAGAGGGAACAAGCTTGTTTTCTCCTGCTCTGGTGGGCAGGACTCGAACCAGTGGCTTCAAGTTACAAGAAAGGAGATTCTGAATCTCGGAAAAACTTTCTCACAATAAGAGCTGTTCAAAAGTGGAACAGTCTCCCTCAGGAGGTTGTGGACTCCCCATCCTTGGAGGTTTTTATGCAGAGGTTGGACGGCCATTTGTCATGGATGCTTTAGCTGAGATTCCTGCTTTGGAGAGGGTTGGACTAAATTCTCCTTGTGGTCCCTTCCAACTATGTGATTCTATGATTAACTCAATTAGCTTCTCTCAAACTTTTAATGACAACTAGGGACTTTTTGTAGGGACGCGGGTGGCACTGTGGGTTTAACCACAGAGCCTAGGACTTGCCGATCAGAAGGTCAGCGGTTTAAATCCCCGTGACAAGGTGAGCTCCCGTTGCTCAGTCCCTGCTCCTGCCAACTTAGCAGTTCAAAAGCATGTCAAAGTACAAGTAGATAAATAGGTACCGCTCCGGCGGGAAGGTAAACGGCGTTTCCTTGCACTGCTCTGGTTCGCCAGAAGCGGCTTAGTCATGCTGGCCACATGACCCGGAAGCTGTACGCCAGCTCCCTCGGCCAATAAAGCAAGATGAGTGCTACAACTCCAGAGTCGGTCACGACTGGACCTAATGGTCAGGGGTCTCTCTACCTTTACCTCTAGGGACTTTTTGGCTGAGATCATCGCATCTGTATGTCTGTGCTCTGTGTGCTCGCATTTAGTTTCTTGCTAATTCTTGATTTGTATTACTGTTAGTGTTAGTATCCGAGATGTTTTCAATTGAATAAGTTACTTTGAGGGGGTTTTGTTGGGGTGCAAATGTATAAACAAAACTGTCCAGTAAGTAAAATCACTCTAACTTCACAAAGGTTGCTTAGATGGGCTAAACTGGCAGATCTACTAACAAACTTACAACAGAAACTAAATTATACAAATTTCCATCAACAAAAGCAAGGGTGAGTTCAGCTTTGAAAAATAAGACATTTCTTTACCTGGTCTTCCAGGGTGCATTTAAGAGCTGCTTGACAGAGTGTTGGTTGTTGCTCACTGGAGAATATATCTATATATAGGCTTTTTCCACACCTACTTTATTTTGATTTGCATTTGTTAGGAACCAATGACTAAATATAATTTGCCTAATGAAGCCAAAAGTGGTGGCCTCAAACTGAGCATTTTTTTCTGAAATCAAGGAAAACCTTCACTTGGAATATCCTACGAACAACAGAATGGTACACTCTAATCCTAAACAGCCTGAACCTAAACACATTTACAAAGAAGTACCCTATTCCATTTTGCATTTTGCATATAAAACTATATAAAACCATTATAAGATCAGCCAGGGAAGAGGGAGGGAATCTAGTATGAACTGGGAAGAGGCGGCATGGGCTTTGGGTCTCATAGAACGACATTATGGTGCTCCAATCCCTGTTTCAGGGGGATTATCAGGAAACATAAATTTTGTTTTGTTTTGCTTAACTCCCTATTATATATAATTTTTATTTTCTGTTTTACAATTTAAAATACTCATTTTACATCCTTAAGATATCAATGACTTCCTTTCTTCTCTTTCCGTGGTTCATTTTACATATCATAAATCCCTGCATATAAAACTATACCATTCAGTATTCCATTATTACTGTACATCCATCAAAAAGTGTTTACACTGTTGAATTTATCTTAAGGCTGGGAGTGTTTTCAGCTGTATACAATTCTTTCCCATACTGTATACGTATTCAATAAACATTTTCCAATCTTCTTTAAATGTATGTTCTTGTTCTCATATTCTATATGTTAAGTCTGCAAGTTGTGCATATTCTGTCAACTTAAGTTGCCATTCTTCTTTAGTTGGGACCTTGCTCGTTTTCCATTTTTGGGCTAACAAAACACAAACCGCAGTGGTAGCATACATAAATAACCTTTTTTTGACACCTGGGAATTTCAGTCTGAATTATCCCCAACAGAAAGGACTCGGGGGGGTTGGGGGGGAGTACTTTTAAACACTTTTTTCAATTCATTATGGATCATTTCCCAATACTTTTTTACCCTTTTACAAGTCCACCACATATGAAAGAGGAAACGTAAGTTTTAATATTGTGTCCTTAAAGGCATAGGTTTCAATCCAAAAATGTGACCATAAATTGAGCAACCCTCCTGCAACAACCGCATCCCCAAATTTGCTTCTTCCTTGCAAAAAAGGAGGGGGCCAAGGATGAGATTAAACGTAAATTCTAAAAACCCCTTTCAGGGTCAGCTAGTTCCATCAGAGATCGAAATTACACATCATTTCCCCCCGCTTGTCCACTTGCTAAAAGAATACAAAGACTAGGTGACTGACTCATTTGTAAGAGTCATGGTTCAAAGTGAAGCATCACAGCAATCAACCTTAGAAGCCCTCAGGCATGGGTGTTCTACCTGTGTAATTAATAGGCTATTATTAAGGTTAACCATTATATCACAAGGAAATGTTACAAGGAAAACATGGGATTCACAAACCCATCTTTCCCTTGTGGCATTAATTTGGGAGTTATCCAGGGCACTTGCAGTCTGGTGGCAGGTCAGTTTTCTCCTGCAATTTTTCACCAGGTGATATTTAAGAAGATCCCCTCCCCTAGCAATGTCCCCAAAACAGAAAGGAGCCCAGCAGAAGAGAACTGGTAGGTACAAGCAGAGATGGGCATATCTGTCCATTTTTTGTTTCTCTTTTTTTGTAATAATTTTTAATTTAATTTTCAAAAGATTAACACATTTACTTCAATACATAATAAATTTATATTTTCTCAACTTCCTGCCTCATTTTCCATGGCATTTTAATTCTCCCCCATCTGCTGCACAATACCTTTTATTTCTTATACCAACACAGCAATTGTATTCTCTCATTCCTGATGTTGCTCATACTTCAAATCCTGCTCCAAGTTCATCAAACGATAATTATTTAGATAGTCTGAAAGGGGTTCCCATTCTTCCACAAAGCAGCCATCATTAGATTCTCTTATTTTGGCTGTTAACTGCCATTTCCGCATAGTCCATCACCTTACTTATCCATTCTTCTTTGGCAGGAACTTCTTCCTTCCATTTTTGTGCGTAGAGAATCTTGGCATTTTTGGTTTCTCTCTGTGTCTCC